TGGAGCCATGTAGATTAGGCTGATCAGCAGAGGGAAATGAAGCCGCAATTTAAATAATCTCGGCTTCATTTAAATTTAAATGGTTGCCGTGCTCTGCCGACCAGCTGATGATCAGCTGTTTGTCCGCAGATCGGGGCAGTCTGGATGTGCCATGGTCGACAAGGAAGCCTTTGTCGACCGGCGCAGGTAAACCTGGTTTCATGAGGCATACCTGCGCCAGTCGACAAAGCCTTCCTTGTTGACCGCGGCACATCCAGACTGCCCCGATCTGCCGACAAACAACTGATCATCAGCTGCTCGGCAAAGCGCAGCAGCCATTTAAATGTAAATGAAGCCGCGATTATTTAAATCGCGGCTTCATTTCTCTCTGCCAATCAGCCTAATCTACGTGGCTCCATCAACAGAGCCATGTAGTTTAGACACACCCTGTGTGTCTACACTACAATCCTTTATTTTGAAATAATGTCGAGCTGGAGGACTTCTTACTCCAATTCATGGTAACCCTCATTTCATGAGAAGTAAGGAAAGTTGAAGGAAGACTATTCTCCCTTTGACTTCTTGCTTTGTAGACAGTGCCAAAAGCCACAGTAAGCTATTTTGATTTAAGATATGCAGTTGACATAGCTGAAGTTGCATAGCTTCGTTTAACTTTAGTCCTGCTGTGTAGACATATCCTAAGAGAGCAGTTGGGAAAGCATGTTGCCTGATAATTACAGGAAGGGATCTGGTATCAGGACCTCCAGGTTCTGTTCTTAGCTTTGCTACCGACTTTGTGGTGTCACACAGGCATATTCAATTTACTGAATTACAAAATAAGCCACCATGCTCTAACCTGGAAAACATGAGAGTGTCTTTCAACAACCAGGAATTTCAACTCCCAGTCTACAAGCACCTTTCTTTACAGCTGCTACCTGCTCATTATGGTAATTCTGATCCAGAATAGGGTCATACTTTTCACAGGAATTTTTCATAACATATTTTTCTCATAGCTGATCTCTTAAATTTGGCAGAGACATGTAGCTGATGTTTTAAATTTGCCATTTGGCAGCTGGCTGACACTTAACGCCTTCTCTCCTTCTAGGAAATATTCCTATTCTATTTTTCTTAGTTTTTTACCATTGAGAAGATGACTACACTATATTAGCAGCATGCCCTATCCACAATAGGAGGCACAGCCATTTTATAAGTTTCCTATATTCACTAATTTCAGTTGTACATGTCTATACAAGGAGGCAAATTACAAATTTTCAACACAGATCTCTTTTGTGAGGTGAACAAGAAATCCTTTTTCTACAGCTCCCAGCTGCATGCACATGTATTTAATTCAATATAAATAAAAGGTGATGGAGCAAAATTTGTTACATCACCATTAGCCAAACTCTAATGTCCAAACTCTGCAGTTCTTATGGACATCTGTAACAAAACTGCCATGGATTTTAATAGGCGGAAGCATGAACTATTAAGCCAATTTTTCAGCAGTGGAAGGTTTAATTATTCTAACTGTTAAGATTCTGAGGTTGTTGCTTTATATGTCACAATATCACTTTTCTTACAACTGCACATGTGGTGGTGTATTTAGAGTAGTCGGGCACTGTGTGCAGCTTCATTTTTAAGGTCCTCCTCCCCACCCCCAGGACCCAGTAAAGAAAAAGACCGTTTTCTCTTTCTCTCTCCCCACCCATCCCATTTTTCATACTTTTTTCTTCATCCTCCTCATCCTATATTAAAACTCTGAAGTTGGGTTATGGGATGGAGTGAGAGGGATGGCGTTACCTCGGGCGGCACAGCTCCCAAAGCGACTGGTACATCCCTCTGGCAGCAGCTCCTCAGTAAGGGTGGGCCACTGGAGTACTCTGCTCTCTGCTGCCCTCAGGCACCACTCCCACAGTTCCCATTGGCCATAGGTCCTGGTAAAGGGGACAGCACAGTTGGTGCGTTGTGCTGGGCAACTTGTGGAGAGGGAGGCAAAGTCTGCAGGGCGCTGCCTTAGCTCAGTTGCTCTACTGCTGGCATGTCTCTGTATGCTGCCCAGGGTGGGGGCCAGCATGCATGCAGCCCCTTACCCCGCCAGGCATTCTCAGAGATATGCCAGCAACCAGCCAGTTCCCTGAGCAATGTGGGGCCACTGGCCACTGGTCACAGGATGCCTGTCTGCCTGCCTGAATCTTGCTACGTTTTGGGGGGTCATTGGGAGCCCCATGCACCGCCTAGCATATCTGCTCCTGTGCATATGTATAGTGAAAAGAGAGAACTAAACCCTATATTTCCAGTTTTTGGAGTGTGTTTGAAACCTGCTCACAGATCTGAATCTGGGTTTTGTAAAAGGCCTCCACCTCCATGTAACATGATGAACCAAAACCCTGCATACAAACTACCAGAATACCGGGGTGTACAAAACCCAGTTCTCAATGTGAATTTTGCACACTGAGCTTGTTTCTCCCAGTGGCAGCCATTACAATCCCATGGTATAAAAATGTCATTTTAACCATTATTCTGGCTTGTTACTACTTTCACAGAAGCAAGGAATCACTTAACCAATTTATTTTTCATAGTATTTTCAAATGCAGCTCTTGGAAAATTCATTAAAATGTGCAAGAACTAAATGAAAGTCAGAATGTTTTAAAATACTCCTCCTACTGGGGAAAATAATGTATGGTGTAATCTAGAGTGAAACAGGAGAATAGAAGAAATTCTTTGGAATACCATGCTGTTCAACTCTGAACTACAGAGGCAGATATGGTAATCCATTGTTTGTTCGCATGCTGAACATCTGTTCTCAACTAACGATATACAAATATTTATCATCCCTTAGGAATACTTTCCATAGTTTTATTATCAACATGTCATATTATGAAGAAATGGGAAAGCCACACATTCCAAAAGAAAGCCTGCAATTTTTCATAATGCAAACATTCAGAACTGTGTTGTAGTGTTGGCAGACTTTGTGCAACCCCCACTGAAGTTGGATGGATCCACGGGAAATGCAAACTGAAATAATGGAAGTGTTGTTTATGGCTCCAGGGTACTTCATGCACCTCTGGCATGAAGTAATATTGTTGACATTTGCAGTCTGGATTTTACAGGATCTAGTTCTGATTTTACTTACACCACTTTTACTGTGTTGCTCTGGATTTATACTTCTGTAAGTAGGAAGAAAATGCTGTCTTAATAACTTCCATATGTATATCTACTGTACCTAAACCTCACCATCATTTTCTTTCATGTTTCTAGTTTATTCACACAGATCCAAGCGCACATTTCTTTTAAATAGAGTAATCCCTGGATCCTGTTATCCCCTTGGTTTCCCAACTCCAAATAAATATCCATAATTAGAGCTTCGAGTATAAACTATTTAATGATATGCTACAAGAACGAAGTGTAGACATTCGCAGATTGTTAGACGATGACAGAATGAACTCTGTTACTGATTCTCAAAGAGGAACGAGAGTTACAGATAATTTTAAATTTCTAAAATGAGGTCCTTAGGCTACAGGATAATGTGTTAACTCAGATTTCTGAGTAAAGCTTTAAATGTCTGGAATAACTTCATATATTCTAATCATCCTTTCTTGTAGAATACAATTTCTAAAGCTGCAGTTCAAGAGCTGGCTGCATTGTATGGCACAAAATATACCTATGGAGCAGGAGCTTCAACAATCTGTAAGTATTAGCATTAATATCATAAGCAACTGTAGTAAGAATTATTTTTCTAGATTATGAGAGAAAATTATGCATCATCCCTTCCAGTAAAAAACATAAGACGAGCCCCCTCAACATGCACACCCTGCTTATCTCCTCATAATGGTGTAGGCTATGATACCTTGACTCTTTCTGAGTGGTACTTGTCTTTGCAAGTAGTCCCATTTACTGGACTCTCTAGAATGTATGTATGCAACATTTCTGGATTTGCAAATGTACGAACATGCACCTGTGGATTCCCAATGAAATTCACACAATAATTATATAGTACCCAAACACTAACAGGATGGGCCTATTAGGAATTCCTAAAACAAACACATAAAATGTGATTAAAACATGAGACAATTGCACTTGTGAGTTTCCTGATTTCCAGGGCATGCAAACCTCTGTGACAACAGTAATGTGAAACCTTTTTGACCAGAAACTGCCTTCACAACTCTAACCAGCAAATTTATATTCTGTTACTGTGAGATTATTTTAAAAATATAGAAATTCCAACCTCATTCTAACAATCACTTGAAACCAAGCTGTTGTGTTAGATATTTTGTGGTGTTATGTCCAAATCCTTTGTGATAACACTAATGTGGTATTGCCAAACCCAATTTTCCAAAGTTTTATAACTCTGATGTTTTGGCTCCTACTTTCTTAGGCCTGTTTACAAATCAGGATTTAACAACTTGAAAGACAATTTTTTTATCTTAAATAAAATGGCTACAGTTGTTTGCCCGTGTATAAAAGATCAACTGAGATTTTGGGGGGATTTGTAGCAATTTTGAGAACCTCCTGTGGGATAAAAATTATTAGAACCCCATTCTCTCCTTACAAGGACAACCAAGAGAGTATATGTTAAATTTGCTCATCAAGAGGGAACAAAAAAAAAGCAGGTTCCCCAGTTTTGTAGATCCCTCAAGAATTGTGTAGACCCTATGGAGGGGGATTCAATGTAATAAACCTTGCTCCTGAGGAAAACATGCTTTCAGTTCTCTCTTCAGGCAAAAAATAACCCTCGCATTCATTCTCAGGAGGGATCTCTACAATGAGGCAGGAGCAGCGATGCAAAATAACTCAGACTATATTCTGACCAGGATTGTTTCTTCTATACATTTAGATGGAGAACATGGTTATATTCCTCCTCTTATCACTAAGGATTTCCTTTTTCAAGGCTAATAAAGTAGTTGGCAAGCTCTGTTCCATATTCTGGATGCACACAAATGGTTTATTGACTCTGATTGCTTTGTACTCTGCCTTTCCTATATTTCTAATTATGTGGTATGATAGTTATAATAAATCACCCAGATTACCAGTGACTTGTCCTTTTCGAGTAAAGTTTTCATTTCTCCTCCAATGCAGATCCTGCTGCTGGTGGCTCTGATGACTGGGCTTATGATCAAGGCATCAAATACTCCTTCACCTTTGAGCTCCGTGATACGGGCAGATATGGATTTGCACTCCCTGAATCTCAGATCAAGCCAACCTGTGAAGAGACCATGAAAGCTGTTAAATATATTGCCAATTATGTCCTTAACCATTTATATTAGAATGGTATTGCAAAATTATTCAAGAAATATTGTTTCAAATATACTGTCCCTTTTGTTCTCTTTCTATGAGGGTGGATGATTTCTGCTTTACTGGATGCTGTTAGTTCTCGTTTACATTTGAGCTCTTGAGATAATGAAAATAGCTAAGAATTTTTCTGTAAATCACAAATAAAAATGGCAAAACCGACCTACTGTTTCTAAAATGGAAAAAAGTCTCTGACTGCACCATTGGAAAAGAATGAAGAACAAGGTCTATTTTGACTAGTTGACCAATTAACATGTTTTTTAAAATGTCCTTTAATGATCACTAAACCAAATTTAATCACGGAGCATTGACTACAATGGAGCTGGATAGGTATTTCTAGGAGCAGAATCTGGACCTCTCTTAATAGGCTAATAGTAATCAGAAGCTTTAGTAACAGCTAGCTCCTCGATGAAACAAAGGTAAGGCCCAATGGGAGCCCAAGAAAAAAGAAATTTGGGAAAAACCTAATAATGATTATATCAAATGCATCCCTAAATCAGAAGAAGGCAGAGATAAAAAATCAGATATTGAGAATTGAGGTGAGGGTCCTGTCCTGATTACTAAATTTAAAAGGTTACTATTTGAACTGAAAATTAAATATAATAAAAATATGAAAAATAATAACAGGAATTAACTTATATACTTCATCAGTCATTACAGATTCTGCACATACTTATGTAGAAAATAGTTACTTTGATTACTCAGGCTTTGTTCCAACAGGTTTAAATTAAAGCAATACAGGAAGTAGTTAAGATCTCAGTTTGATCAGTAATTAATTTTGTATGTTGTGCATGATCCACCCAGTGTAAGCTGATGTCCTTATATCTCTGCAAGTGTAGAATGTAATCCTTGAATCAAATATACAGAACAGCTAACATAAATCCTTAGCTGCTAGCTTCATTTTGTGACTGAGAACCAAATGCACAGAAAAGCAGGAACACCTGCACTCCCAGCAAAACTTCAATAGCTAAACAATACAAATGAACAAAACCAAACAGAAAGACAGTGGAGCAAATTCTGTATGAACTCTCTGCATGCAAGGAAGATGTCAGGCAGTACTCAAGGAACTATTTAAAAATGTGGATGGACTGTTACACTGAGAAAGGCAATTAAACCTCTTTCTGAGGACCTTTAACTCCCAGAAGCTATCCATCTGAATAGATGTAATCTTTTCCCAACTAGTATAGGCTAGAATCATTAGTCTTAATAACATCTCAGTTATTTGAAGAATAAGAAGGTTCAGATAGTAATAAAATTAAACAATTTCCAGTGAAACTCTATGAGGAAATTAGTTGCTTGTTGAACAATAAGAAGGGGGAATATAAAATCTGCCAAACAGAGAAAAAGCAGAAACATGAAGTTTATGTTGCTTTTAGGTTTGATTGCAGCAACTCATTGCTGTTCCTCACATTCATAGCTTTGACAAGAAGAAAGCTCTCTGAGGATCATTGGCAGACATTGAATCAATGATCACTTTAATTCAATATTATGTACACACTATAGCACAGAAGAGATGTACCAGACAAAAGAGAGGACCCCTAATGCAAAGGAACTAATAGGCAAAGAGAGGAGCTGGAACAATGTAAAGTTATGATTATGGTTGGTTACTGATCTATTCTGAAGTGAGAAAATGTTTCATGTGAATCCTCAGAATGACAAATAAGTGAAATTCATGAATGACTTGGCCAGCATCACAGCTGAAACATTTTTACGCAGCATGCCATATAATTAACTCTTCACTTTGTTTTAATTCTTTTCTGCTTCTTGCAATGGTCTTCCATCTCAGATATGCAGGTTTAAATCATCATATTCTGTGCATACATTGTCATAACATGGAGAAAAATTTAGAAGTAGCATCTAAAGTGGCATTGCTAGACTCTCTCTTACATTTACACTGATGTACGAGGGAACATAAGCAGCAGGTGAAAAAAGTAATAAGAAAGCGTATGTTAAAGAATCCTCATCTCTACCTTAATTTACATCTTCTACCACCTCATTGACATTTAAGTTACTTTAATTTAGACTCCTTTATGCATTAGGCCAACTCTACACTGGTGGAGAAAATCAATGTAAGATACACAATTCTAGCCATGACAATTGCGTAGCTGGAGTTAACGTATCTTACATCGATTTTCTAGGGTGGCCCCACAGCAGTAGGTTGATGGGAAAAACTCTCATCAACTTCCATAGCATCTCATGACTGCGAGATCACCCTTAGTGGCACCCTCAGTGGTCAACCCTCAGTAGCTGAAAGGGACACCCTTAGTGGTTAATTTAGCAGCTCTTTACTAGACGCAGTAAATCGAACCCAGAAGACTGATCGTCACAGCGCTGATCCTCTGATAAGTACAGACAAGCCCTTAGTAAAGCAGATAATTTTACCCACTAACTCTGCTAATGCTCATGTATATACACTGAATAGCTGATTATTTGTAAAACATATAGTGTAACACACAGCTGTTATCTTGGGATGACAGTTGCACCTTATGTACCGTGAGGCAGTCTCTGTATAACAAAACATTTATAACAGCCTCTACCAATAAAGAATATCACTGGGAGAGCAAGTACAGGCTATGTTGGAGAGGAAGAGATTTGTCTTTTGTAATAGTACATAGAATGGTTGGAAATGCACTGTATTTTTTGTGGACTGACTATATTGGTGTTGTCAGTATTATTTTGAGCTGTTGTGATACTTGACATCTTATTGGTATTTTGAGATGAACACAAAACATTTCCTGCCCATTCACTACATTATCAATATATGATGAAAAACCTGAAAAAAAGGCATATTAAGTTCCAGCACTGTAAAATCTATGTTCAGCATCTCATAAATAATTTGTACTAATTATTACTAAAGTACTGCACTGTAGTGATAGAGGCTTCTCAGCAGCACATTGGACATTCTCCAGAATAGATTATTTCATTATTTCCCCAAAATGTAAAAATCTTTGGCTCGTGTTCCTATCCATCTAGATACTGAATGAAACAAAAGCCACAAACCATTTTCCTGGGAAAGATTTAACACATCTTTAACTCAAGAGAAGCATTTCAATGAATTTATTAATAGAGGAATTAAATTCTATATAGCTATAAGCACAATTTATGAAGGCTGTGTGGTCAGAGAAACTATCTCTGGATTTTGCTCATGAACGCTCATGATGCTATATATTTTTGTTAGTCTCTGAGGTGCCGTAGGACTACTCATTGTTTTTAGTTACAGACTAACACGGCTACCCCCTAATGCTCCCTCTACACTGTTTGTTTTTGCGGAAGAGGAAATGTAAATGAAGTGCTCATTTGCAAATCTCATGCTCTCATTTGAATATTTTCTTCCAATCCTTTTTGTGGAAGAGGTTTTTGTGAAAAAAATGGCAGTGTAGATGGAGTCATTTTTTTGGGGAAAAAAAAACACTTTTGTGCAAGATCCTGTAAACCCCATTTTCTGAGGAATAAGGGATCTTGCTAGCCAGAGACTTGAGAGACCAAAGTCCAATCATGTGCTTCGCCACAGACTTCTTATGTCACATGAGGCAAATCACATAGCATCTTACTTTGTCCCAGCTGCCATCTGTAAAATGTGGATAATAGTTGTTCCATACAGGGGTATGCTATGGATAAATACATTAAAGATTGTTAGCTATTAGTGTTACTGGAGTGATATAAGTATTGTCTTAGTGTGATGGGGCAGAGGCGCCCCGCACTCCAGTCCCACCGGCACCCGCTTTCCTAGTGGCTCTCGGGACAGGGGGCGGAGCTGCAGTGCTGGGCGCGCTGCAGCCTGGGGGCTGAGCGATGCTGGAGACGGCATACCGTCAGTGTGCCGGGTGCTCACAGGCAGCCGCCCCAACAGGACGCCCGGGTACGGCGGGGAGTCCGGACGCCATGGTGGGGAGAGAGGGGGTGACGTCATCACGCGGCCCCGCCGCTGGCCTGGAAGCGTGGTCACGCCGGAAGGGGCGGGGTCCCACGGGCTGGGAGCCAGCACGGATATTTAAACCCCAGGAGACGCCGGGGAAGGGGGGAGCTCGGAGGGAGCACCCCCCGCAATGAGGAGCAGCGACGGGACCCAAAGTGAGGAGGTGAGCCTGGCTGCTAGGGGAAGTGGTGACGGCAGAGAGAGGAAGTAGCCCAGAGCGGGCAAAGGGAGCCTATGGGCTGGCGAGCTACAGCAAACGCCCTGCCAGCCGGACCGGATGGCATAGGCGTTCGTGTCCTCAGGGCCCTGGGCTGGGGTCCTTTAAAGGGGGCGGGCCCGGACCCCACTCTCCCCGCCTCAGGACCTAGCGAACTCCCAACCTAGAGGAGGCCACACGAACCACTGTTGAAACAAACTGGGACACCAGAGGGCGCTTAAAAAGAGGTGAAGGAAGCATGGGACTAAGGGAGGGGTGACGTGGTGCCAACGGGGCACCCTATAGACCCATTTACACTTAGATAGATATTTATAACCCCAATTTAAAAATAGAAAAAATTATGTTTCTCACCACAAAATAAGAAAAGCAAGAATGTTTTCTGAATTATCAGAGAAGCTGGTAAAGACTGTGTCAGCCAAGGGTAATATGAAAAGTACTACAGTAGAAACCAAGGAAAGGCCAAGACTTCTAAACAAATGGTGGAACTTTTTAAAAACTAAAATGTGAGTACATTTAGTGTTTGTAAAAGTTGCTGTGTCAACATCCCTAGACACGAGAGTCCTGAATTTATCCCTACAACAGGCATGCAGTGACAAAGCCTTGCCAATGAGCCTCAGTCGTCTTCCAGAAAAGTCTCATTGAAAGGTGAGAAGACTTTTCAATCCTCGGACTCTCTTCTGAAGCTGCCAACAAGATAGCTAATTAATGCCTGTGGCAGTGCTGGTTTCTGTGGTGTGGGCACTTGACCACCAGAAATTGAACTGAAATTATTAAATGTATTTCCCACAAGCAAGTAGAACAACAATCAGATGTAACAATTTTGGTCACTACTCATATGGACTTCACTAAAAAGACCAGATGTGCCAAATTTACTCGCAATCAACATGGGAAAGACTCCATGAGCCAAATTCACCCATGGCGTGAGTGGGCAGAATTCCATTAACTCTAATTGCATCCACTCACATTAGGAATGAATTTGTCCCTGTGAATCAATTATAGATTCTAAAAGATACATAGCATTTGAGGTTCTGTGTGTCCTAACAATATTTTATTTAAATAAATGCTTTTCTAAGGCTGCTGACGAGTGAGAAAATAGATGAGGTTTTCTGAAAGCAGGGTTGTAAACACTATAACTTATAAATGTGTGTTCACAATTTTAAAATATAATCAGTCATTGTCTAGAAGTATAACAACACTGTCCCAAGAGTTTTTCATTGCCACTATACATACTCACTAAGCCAAATGCATTATATAAGCACTAAAATGAGACACTTCTCATTTCTCTGGGTGGCTCAATTTCTGCCATCCAGAGTCAGCTCATGCTGAAGTTGCTAACATAGAAGTGGATTTCTAAGTCAATGTAGTTCAATCCAGGCCAAGATTCTCTTGGAGCAGCATAAAATGCAAGTAAGTTGTGTGCATTGAAGAGTAATGGGAGACCAGAGGCATGCCAGGCCCTGCGCTTTTGCTGGAGATAACGGAGAAGTTGAGGGACTCTGACGGAGTTTTTTGGACTCCCTTCCCCATGTAGCCTGAGAATCCAGCCAGTAGCTCGGGAGGACTGGTTACCCAGTCCAGGCTGACCAGGAGCATCACCCAATGCTGTTTTAACCAAGGAATAGAAGCCCAAATCCTAGCAAGGGCAAGCGGGGCCCATGACGCAGTACTTAGATTGTGAGTTTGTGGACTGGGTCTGGGGCCCAGGAGTGTGACTGACCTTGACACAGGTGGTGTCAGGAGTAGGATACTCCACTACCATGAGACCCCACAGTGGACCCACCCAGGGCAAGCTAAACTGGCCCGTAAGGAGGAAGAAAGGCAAGATGGAGGATGTCGTGAAGGTGCTTGTGCAAGTCACCAAAGCACAGCAAGAAGCTACCAGAGTTCAGGTGGCTGCCCAGCGGGAGTCAGTGTGGCTACAGCAGGAAACTAATCAGCTACTGATGAACCAGGATGCCCAGGACTGAGCCACCCTGCAGGAAGTGATAACGCAGATGAAGGGCCTGACCACACAGGTGTACAGCCAAGATGGGACTCAATCCCTGCAGGCCAGCAATTACCTCCAGAGATGATGGGGGCGGATGACATGGAGGCATACCTCTGGCCTTTGAGAGGACAGCCCTGCGGGAAGGCTGGCCCCGAGTCCAGAGGGCCAGCATGCTGGCTCCATTCCTGCGTGGTGAGGCCCAGAAGGCCTACTTCAACATATTTAACTGAGATGGGAGGCAAGCTATGTTGGATATTAAACTCACAAGCTAAGTTGATTGGATTCAATTTTCTTTCCACTCTAATCCTAAACTAGAAAATAACATTGTATTTTCTTTTCCCTTTTTGTTTCCATGCTGCTTCTGCCGATCTTTAGCATTTTTTAAAATGTGACCATTAAATGATTATGTAAATTATCTAAATAGTAACCATTTCATTTTATACAGATTTCAGACAGTGATTATTTTGTTTATTTTACTAAAATGGAAATACTGTTCATTGAGCTGAAAGCTGTCTTTAAAATCCTAAACAGAACATTTTCAGTTCTAATAGGGCTAGACTTTCTAATGAGGCTTTACACTTTGCTCTCCTCCTTTAAATGTGCTTCTCTGGATCACGTCTGAAGAGTAACAATATAATCCTCACAAATGAAGCATAGCTTAGTTTAAATCGAAGGCTAGATAGAAAAATGTTTTGTTTTGTTTTGGTCACCATTATTCCTTTATCACTTTCCAATTATAAGTTGCACCGTCATGGACAAGTGGTGCTGACAATATACTTTATTTTAAAAGCAGGTTTTTATCGCAATCTGCATGTTCACTTTTTCATACCCATTTTTCATAAGTTCATCCAACTTACATAATATTTCTTTCAAATAAGTCAAACATTAAAAACAATTCACACTGAGACAGTTAAATAGCTAAAGGGCTAGATTCTGACCTCCCTCACACTGACTTAGAGAACCACTGATTTTCTCTGGATTTATCAATATACCTATGCAGCATATTAGATTCTTTGGGTCAGATTCTTTCTTAATAGTTTTCCAGTCACTTGTATTAAACAAAGTTCTAATCATATCCATTTAAAACTTATTATGGGCCACATGATGGCTCACTCAGTGCAATGAGCAAAGGACTCTCAGTGGCCCATCCTTCCCTTAGCACTTGTGCACAGGAGTCAACCACAACAGAGCTAGCTGCATTCTCTAACTGTAAGGATGAGGCCTCTACTACCGCTAGCACTCCTGAGTGCCCCAGAGGGTGTGACACAGGTGGCTGATATCTCCACCCACTACAGAAAGGAATGGCTGGTGGCTGGAGAAAGCACAAGTTACCTAGTGGACTTTACTATGTTTTCAAATAAAGTGTATGTGGGGAAAGTCCACCCAGTATGCCTGGGTACTGGAAATAGTTTATCTTCTTTTAAAATCTGGAGCGCTGGCAGACTCTTTCAGAGTATAAAACTAACCACAAGATATCTGTATCCATTGTCATATCACTGATGCCAGGTAAGATTCAACTCACATGACGGGTCAAGCACGCACTTCTCACACAAAACACTGAAGTCACTTGGAGCTCAGCTGGGAAAGGATATGTCACTATTCACACAGATGATAAAAAACAGAATGACTAATTCCTATGTACCCAAGTTCATAAGAAAGGAACACAAAGTCCAGCAATGTTTTAGGAAAGTCTTCATTGCTGACCATTTTCATCCAGAGTCTGGGTTACTGGGTTTAATGGTGGGCAGGCAGAGTCCTACATTCTGCCTGTCCTCTTCTTTTTAATCTTTCCCCCAATTCAGCAACATTTGGTCCCAGTGACCTTTAGTTGTGACTTATAGTGTTCCTAACAGCTTGTCTTTTACATTTCCCCCACAAGGGGTATTGATTCACTCTCAATAAAAAACCCTAATGACTTTTTGGTAAGTCAACCACATTTCACTCAGCCTTCCTGCCTTACATCTATGGAAACAGGGTTGATGTCTCACATGGTCAAGAACTCCCGCAGCATGTTAGCTACAACCTTCTCCCCAGAATATTGTCAGAGCCTGGATTAATTATAAAAAGGTCTGGTTCATTCTCGCATCTCCAGCATCCCTAAGAAATCTTGGAGCCTTGACGACTTATTTCCAGAACTGCAGCAAAACACTTAACAAATCTCACGTAATTCATAGTATACCTTCTCCTGGTTGTGCCAGGTGAGAGAATTCCTCAGGCAGTAGTAATTCATAGTATACGTGTGCCAGGTGAGAGAATTCCTCAGGCAGTTAAATGTAAGGGTATGCATCATATGCATGGAATGCTACTGCATGATGCTCACCCAAAATATTCTTTGGTTGCTATGGAGCCTCTGTCTGTTTATAAATTTAAAGAAAAATTGGGATTCAGTATTCCTTTGTAAAGAAACACTTAAAAGAACTTAACAAGTATTGGGGGTGGGGAGGATTATAAGAGACAGCACACAACATAAGGTTTCTCTAAAGACAGTACTATATCTATCATGCTGTTCTTTCTTCTTGAGAGAGAAGAGAGACTGTTTCATCTACAGTTTCAGTGAGAAACTGCAAGGTAGAAATAGGTCAGAGTAGATAAATTCAGCAGCTGTTTATGCCCATTAGTGACAAAATTATATCCATTTTCATAGACTGTAAAACAGTGTTTGAACGATTAGCGCTTGGAACTTTAATACCTGAAAAACATCAACAGAAGCCAAGAAATAAAAAGGCAAAGCAAATATCACAGCTCCCAATCTATTTACGCACCTCCTAGAACGTCCAGTTTCTACATTTGGTAGATAAGCAATAATAAGAGCTAATAGCGTTATCGGACATAGTTATAATTACATTGTAACCGTGGTCAAAGACTTCAATGTTGCTCTGAACTTAATTCTTTCAGCCATCAGCAGAATTATTTATGTAATAATGCAAATCTCAGGATTCTTTTTAATTGAAAAACAACATTTTATCAGATAAACGGACTTCATCCCTACCTAAACTAGTCCGACTGCTAGTATGGAAAGTAGTCTAGGCATCTTTTAGATCAATGAAAGAGGAACAGAAAGGAAAATAGAGAGGGAGATTCATGGATTTCCAATTAAAGTTCCAAATACTTACACAGTGCTTAAATTTACTATCAATAAGTCAACCCACTGAAGTGTGTGGGACTATTCACAGTTAAGCACAATAAGTATTTGTAGGATCAGAACCCAATGATAAGAGAAAAGGTGAATAAAGAGGAGGTAACAAGGGGAAGTGCTACAGAAATGTTAAATCATTTATACCAAATCTAGAAATACTGAGTGCATATAATATTCTTTAATTTTTTATTGGTAAACATTAGTAAACATTTCATTGGTAAAGCAGAGATATGGTTGAACAAGGAAAAAATGGAAATGTGTATGGTACAAAACTCTTTAATCGATAAATAAATCTGTACTTTTAATGGCAAATCTAGTAGAAAGGAAGATTCTGAAACCTATAAAATAAGTATTAAAATTGAAAATTAAAACAAGATCATATTGGTCAAACTGGAAAGACTCTTCAAATAATATATTTAGCTAATATGTAAGTAATACATGAAAAGTAAAAATGAGAAAGTGAGTCAAATTCAGCTGTGGTGTAAATAGGCAAAACACAACTATTAATTTACCTGCTTATATAAGGGCTGAATTTCAAAAAAAGAGGGAAGATTTCTCTCAACTACCCACGTATAAATGTGAGATATTGATTTTATTATTTGTGCTGCAGTAGCATTTAAGAGTCCACAGTGAGAGACAGGATCTTATTACACGAGACACTGCGCACATATGATAATGAATTTAGCTCAGAGTTGATAGCAGAGAACAAGAGGAAGTAACAGCAATGATAAGCAGTTTTGTAGATGGAAGAGTTAGCTAGTACACAATTAGCAAAGGAAATTGATATGAAAAATTACTGTTGGCAAAGTAGAAGTCCAGATAAGATACAGCATGTGTATGTGTGGAAAAGGACATGAGGATAAAAATCACACAGGTCTTAATCACCATTTTGACACTGTCTGATGGCAGTTTAGATTTCTGAGTGGCTGACATTTGCATAACACTTACGTGAAGGAAAAGTGTCAGACATGTAAAAATGAAGTGCCAAATTCTGCTCCCAATGAAATCAATGGCAAAATGTCCATTGCCTTCAATTAGCCAGGGTTAATTAGACTCAAGTCTAGGAAAGGCCAGAAGCAGAAAAAAACACATTATTTAAATGACCAAGTTAAACTAGACACAGTCTGGGATAACTCTGTGATTGAACTCACATATGTGACTGCAGAGGGAAACCATAGACATCCACTGGTGGGGAGGGGGGGAATCTAAATAAGTGGATCTTACGTAACTTTCCCATTTCCCACAGCCCTCTTAAACATAAACTCCCATTGACTTCAATGGGAGATTTGTAGTTGGAAGGGCATGGTTACCCTGCTGGTGGCTGGGTTCTAATTTATATAAATCACATTTCCTTCAGGTAACTGTTTCTTATTGTACCTTAGAGCCAGACTGACCTTAGTCTATGTCTACATTGGCAAGATTTTGCGCAAATACTTTTAACGCAAGAGTTTTTGCGTTGGAGTATTTGCGCAAGAGAGCGTCTACACTGGCATGTGCTTTTGCACAAGAGATGTGCTTTTGCACAAAAGCATCCGTGACAGTGTAGACGCTCTTTTGCGCAAGAAAGCTCCGATGGCCATTTTAGCCATCGGGCTTTCTTGCGCAAGAAATTCATCAGGCTTTCTTGCACAAGAACAGTTGCGCAAGAGGCCTTTTTCCTGAGCGGGAGCATCATAGTTCTTATGCAAGAAACACTGATTTCACACATTAGAACGTCAGTGTTCTTGCACAAGAACTCCCCGCCAGTGTAGACAGGCAGCATGTTTTTGCACAAAAGGGAGTGCTTTTGCGCAAAATCATGCCAATGTAGACACAGCCACAATGAAGAGTGCCTGACACAACTAACTGAAATCGGTGGGATTTCCTGAGGAGTAAGTTACTAATCATTGTGGGACTTTTATTCTCAAGCCAACTCTCAGTTATTTTTTTTTCAGATGTTAAATGCAAATGATAACACAAAATAGGCATAGTGCTCTTTCCCCATCTAGCCTGGAAACATTAATATGAATCTTAATTACATTAAATATGCATGTAGGTTAAGCCACAAAACAACCCATGCTGTCCAGCAAACCCCAAGAGGAAGTCAGTTGCTCACGGAGCAATAAAAAGCAGATTAGAACTAAGCTGACAGACAGTATTTGCTCTAGAGAAACAAGAAACATGAAGTCTATGGTGCCTTTAGGCTTGATTGTAGTAGCTACTTTTGCTCTTACTTCTTCTCGCTGTTTTGACAGGTAGAACATTCTTGCTTTAACTGGCCCTTGATAGAAACATTTTTGATGCTCAGGTCCATTACTTATTTCTTTTTTTATATGTTTTGAAGTGCAAAGGTGTTTCGAGTGAAGCCTCAGAATGAAAAACAAGTGAACTTCTTGAAGCACCTGGCCAGCATTAAACAGGTGAGAAATTTTACAGGGATTTTACAAGGGATTTGGGTTCTCATTCTTCAATATCCGGTATGCTCTAGTGTGGAAATTTTTAAATGACACAGTATCAGTGCCATAGCCACACATGGGCCTGGTAGTGGGGAAAGGTGGCCCTGATGGCTTCTGTCATCCTGTCCTTGCTGCCCACCCTAAATCAGGGACCACCCAAATGTCCCAAGAGGAAATCCAACTGAAGTTTTTGCTCATTCAGCAAGATGAAGAGGTCATGAGGATTTAATGTGAAAAAAAAAATCTCGTGCCAATTCCTAGAAAAACCCATTTCTCCTCTTCTCAGATGGAATGAATCAGAGGAAAGTATTTTCTATCTGCTATGTGGCCTTTAACATAAGTGTTTTACACATATAGAGCCTTTTATAAAGTAGTGTAGCATTTCAGCATTATAGCAATGACAGGGCTATTATTTAAGGGTATATAAGAAGTTTATAAATCAGGCAGCTCTATTTCCTATTTGCCTTCAATATTTTAGGGAAAATATTATTTTAAACCAATCTAAATTTATGCCACTTATGATTTAGTACAATTATTGTTGAATAACCAATCCCAAAGCATTTGAAAAATGGTCCTTCATAGCAGACTCAAACTTCTAAGATGGTTCCATTGCCAGAAATATATAGAAATGGGGCTTTATTTCAGAGAGAGAACAAACACTGACCTATAATGGTTCTCCTGACTACTCACCATTCACAAGTGCATGCATTATTGAATTTCTCCTATGCAGCTTGACTTCTGGCATCCAGATTCAGCCTTTCATATAGTCACTCAGATGGAGGTGGATTTCCATGTCAGAGCACATCAATCCAGAGCTGTACAGACTCTTATGGAGCAGAATGAAATACAATATGAGTAAGTTGTACTTAATAATTCTAGCACACTGGAGATAGGAAGCCGCCTGAATATCAGTGGAGGGGATTTCAGAAATACCCAGTTGACTAAACAGCTCAAATCCCATGGACTTTCAGTTAATCCAGGGATGGACAATAAGCAAGAGCCGGTCTATCAGAGTTAGCCTTGGCAGGCCACTGGCAATTTATTTACCTGCACCTCTGCAAGTATGGCTGCTTGAAGCTCCCATTGAACACAGATCACCATTCCCGGCCAAAGGGAGCTGTGGGAAGTGGCGTAGATGCAGGCATTGCTTCCACAGTGCCCATGGCTGGGAATAGGAATTTGTGGCCAACAGGAGCTGTAAGTGGCCATACCTGCAGATGCACAGATAACCCTGGTGAACTGTATCTGGCCCGCCAGCTTGTTATTGTCCACCAATGAACTAATCCCTGATCTGGGATTAGTACACTCAAACAAGAATATCTTTAGACAGGAATAACATAGATTAGGTCAGGTCTGGTGATTGGAGGTGGCGGGGGGGGGAATGGGGAAGTTGCCACAGGGTCTGGCAATTCTAAGAGGCCCAGGGGTCACTGCAGCAACATTGACAGGTGGAGCCCTGGGCTCATTTGAATCACCACCTGAGCGCCGGAGCACCATGCCGGGCGCTTCGTGGGTTCTGGGGGCACTTGGCCCTGCTCAGTTAGGTTTTGAAATGTCCAGTTATTCAGATTTTACTTTGTTCCAAGTGCTAAGATTTTTGCATTCACCTGAGTTTGCCCAAATCACTGTTCTGATTTGCTTT